CAGGACATTTTACTCCACTGGGAGTTAAGGTACAAGCATTTGGGGGAGCTGAACTGAGAGACATATCCCCACTCTACTGTGTGTCCTCGGGCAACCCTCAACCTCTCTGGGCATCATTTCCTCTGCCGATGAGCAGTGCCCGCCACAAAGTCCTTTGGAAAAGCAATGGCATGTGATCCCTGGACTGAGCTGTCACTTCCCACTGAACTTTGTCTCCTTTCCTCAGGCTGCGATCACTTTCTCAGCTTCTCTTATCTCTCCCCAGGCAGCGTGGGACAGGGAGGTTGAGTGGGCCAACCTCCAGGATGCGGCTGGGGGCAAGGGAGTGATGTCAGCCCTCTGAGTCACAGCGTGGAGGGGTGGTGGGAGTGGGCGCTGGTTGGTAAACATGAATTCCACCCCACCCCAGAGACTGACATTCACGCACACCAGTCATTCACACGTAGCCACCAAACACGCTGTCTGTGCCAGGTTTTGTGCTGAGCGCCGGTGACAGGCACACAGGTAGCCCAGGGCCACTCTCAGGAAATTCACAGCTGCTGCGTGGAGGCAGCCTCGCTCCCACCCAGGCAGGGCGGTTCGCCGGTCCCGGTGCAGACGGGGAGTGGGAAGCCACTTTGGCTCCTCCGGCCCTTATCTCCACTCCACTTCCATACAAGACATCCACGCTCAGACCTTCTTTCTGCTGCCCAAGGAAGAGCAGTTTCCTCCCCTCGTGCCCTCCACAGAGAGGGAGAGCTGCCCCCAGCTGCTGCTCTTTCCCAGATGGCTCCCTCTCTGGAGACTGTCACCTGCCCAGAGTCCCTCCGTGCCAGCAGAACACAAGAGCAGAGGGGGTTGGAGGCTGCTGCTGCCAAGGGCAGGCGGCGAGACAGCTGATAAGGTCAACTGAGCACCTAACATGCACCAGGCTGGGTCTGAGCAAAGGAAAGACGCAGGTGCCAGGAGTCCCCATGGAGGGGAGGGCTCTCCACGCTGATGATAATCACTACTGCAGTCTGCACGGATTGTGCATGTGCCATGTGGCCGGCAGTGGCCTAAGCGCTTCCTGTGCCGTTGCATATTGAGTTCCCATGCCACTGCGCTGCACCACCTCCTCCCCGCTCCGGTCCCCTCCTCCTCTGACCTTGGCTGCTCCCTTGCTCTCTGGCTTCAGGGTGGGTTGACTCAAGGGAGACATCAGCAGGAGGTCAGCAGGTATCTCTTCCCAGCTCCCTCTGTCCCAGATCACTCAGGCCACCCTCTTGGGCAGTGGCTGTAACCCACTCCCCAACCCTGATCACAGCTTCTTCCAGGTGACCCCTCCACAGTGCTAGCAACTCTATTATCTGGTCACTCCACTGCTTCTCTCGTTCTTCAGCTCTGTGTAAGGTGACCAGCGCACCCCAGTTTTCCCAGGCCTGCCTTGTTTCAGCACTGAAAATCCCCTCGGTCCTGGATAAACCAAGACAACTGGCCACCCTAGCTCATGGTGGGGACAGCTTCCTGCCAAGGCCAGTCTCTGGCCTCTCCAGCCTCCGTTTCCTCAGCCCCACCCCCACCTCTGTACCGAATCCCTTCATTTTTAGGGGGGAAAGGGAAACTTCCTCTTCACCCTCAGAAGATTTACTAAAAAATAAACTCACAGAAATGCAGATTAATAGCAGAAAAAGTATACAATTTTATTAATACCATGTACATGGAGAGAACCACAGAGCGATCACCCAATATCCCAGTGGGGTACAAAGGCTTATATATCCTACCTCTTAGGGGCAAGGGAGATGGGAAAGTGTGGATGATTTTAGGGGGATAGTAAATTATTGTTAGGGGAATTCAATGGGCTTAAGGAATGTACAATGGTCTGGGGCAAAATCAGTTGGGCCTGCAGAGTAGACAATGGTTTGTGACAAAAATCCGTCCAGATTTGTTGACAAACTTTAGTCTTCCTTCCAGTGATGTGGGTTCAGTTCATGAAAACTCAGGGAAGGGACCAGAGGTGATTGTTTTACTGTTTTCCTCTTTTGGTGGGTTGGGACTTCGGGCAGATAAAGGAACTTCAGGCTGTGTTTTGGGAGAGGTAGAGGACTGGGAGATTGAGAGGCTGGGTTGAGGGAAGCAATTGTTCTCCTTGTTGGGTCTTTCTGGTCTTTCTGTAGATAAGGGGAAAGTCTCTTCTAGTGTCTGTTGATCTATAGGGGACTTTAATTCAAAATACTTCTCTTTTTTTTGAGACAGGATCTCACTCTGTTGCCCGGGCTAGAGTGTCAGGCTAGCTCACAGCAACCTCAAACTCCTGGGCTCAAGTGATCCTTCTGCCTCAGCCTCCTGAGTAGCTGGGACTACACCCGTGTGCCACCACCACACCCAGCTAATTTTTCTATTTTTACTAGAAATGAGATCTCGCTCTTGCCCAGGCTGGTCTTGAACTCCTGACCTCAAGCAATCTTCCCACCACAGCCTCCCAGAGTGCCAGGATTACAGGCAAAAAATACTCTTTATGCTAGGGAGCCGTATTCCCTGCACTCCTTCACATCAAAATCCACTGAACTCTCTCAGGCTTTCGCTTCCAAGATAATAAAGAAAAGGAACAACGGTAGTTCCAAAAAGGGCCGGAGCCATAAGCAGCCTATTCACTGCACAAACTGCACCCTAGATGTGCCCAGGGACAAGGCCACAAAGAAGTTCAACACTCGAAACATAGTAGAGGCCGCAGCCATCAGGGACATTTCCAAAGCCAGGCTCTTCGATATCCGTGTGCTTGCCAAGCTGCGTGGGAAACTCCACTACCATGTGAGCCATGCCGCTCACAGCAGGGCTGTTAGGAATCGATCTTGTGACACTGCAAGGACACCACATCACCATCCCGATTTAAGCCTGTGGTGCTGCCCCATGGCTTCTGCCAAAGCCCACGCAAGGGGCTGAGTCCCTGAGCACTGAAGAAAGGCTATCCTCTGGGAAAAGAATAAAATGGAAACTATGCCATCTTTGAAAGTCAATTGAATTGGGCTACCTTGGGTGAATTTAGTTTCCTTCTGGATCCTGAATGGCACAATTGACATGCAATCCTGTGAGGGAGGTATTGTAATTAATCTCTTTTTACAGATGAGGAAACTGAGGCACAGAGAGGTCCAGCCACTTGGTCAGAGCCACACCCCTCGGAAACGGCAGAGCTGGGACTCGAGCTCAAGAAGGAGCTCACATTCTCACCCACCAGTGTCTCCTTTGCGCAAGGCTCAACAGCCTTCTTGGATCATTGTGATGGAGTGACCCAGCCCCCAAAGCAAGGAGAGGAACAGCACGACCTCTTGCAGCCCAAGCTACAGAGCTGGGAGTGAGCCACATCCCCACCTGGGTCTGGAAAGGCTGAAGGGGAAGGAACAGCCACAGGAGCCCACACGCTGCTGGGGCAGGTGGGAGAGGTGACCTGCCCAGCCCTCCCTGGCAGCCAGCCCTGACTCCCACACTCTTGGCTTCCTGCAGAGCTTCCTGAAGGGGGAGGAAGGAGATGTTTCCAGCCTTGTGTTCAGACTGGCTTGGGGATGGGCTGGGAGCTGAGGGGTAGGAGACAGTGCCAGCACCAAGCCCCCATCAGAGCCCCCAGGCACAAGCTGAGCTGCACATCCCCCTCCTGGGTGCAGGGAAGGACCTGCCCAGAGGTCTCAGGCTAACAGAGAAGCTCAGAGCCCCAACTGAACCAGCCAGAAACAGAGCTTGAGACAGCAAGAAGTCTAGCCAGACTGTGCCAGGGACAGAGAGGGTCCCACAAGTTCAGACACGGGGAATGAGGGAAGGTTTCCAGGAGGAAAATGTGCAGAGTTGGGAAGAAGGAGGAACAGGGACGAAGGCAGCTGCCCAGGTCAGGACTAGATCTTCTTATAATTGACAAGGAAATAAGCTACAAGAGCGGCCAAAACATCAGTGGAGGTGTAGGAGATGGAGGGCATCCCAAGGGACACACTGGAGGGTTCGAAATAATCCCGCGACACACTGATTGGGATGTGGAGTGAGATGCCCATAGGACACGCTTGGACAACCACATGCTCCACACCGCGCCTCCTGCACAGCGGCACAGCTTGCGTGCTGCTGGGTGAAGTGTGCCAGCCGGGGCGGAGCTCAGTTGCTGGAAGCAGTGGGAGAGAGGCTGCATATTGCCAAGGGAGCCTTCGTCTCTGCCTTCAGCCTCTCCTCTGGATGTCCTGTGATCCCACATTTAAGGCTGCTGCTTAGCATCACTGCTAAATTGCTATCCTGCCAGGCCCCCTGTCCAGGAGTGCGAGGGCCAGGTGAAGGCTCAGAGGTGAGAGGGGCGGGGAGATAACAAGAACCAGGCTTGCTGCCCTGGATGGAGGTGGGGCCAGGGCATCACTGGGCTGGGACTGGAAGAAGGGACAGGGCACAAAGGGACCTTGCCACAAACCCACAGTTCCCAGCACAGGGCATGTGAATTAGTCACAGGAGGCCAGCCTCCGGCCCTGGAGGCCCCAGGCTCCAGGAAGGGAGATCTGGCTCTCAGAGGTGGGGAAGTTATGTCGGAGACAGCGAAGGGAGACGGGGAGGGAGAGACGCTGCCCCCACCGCTTGCCAGAGTAGCGCCAGCCCTAACACAGTGCCTCCAGTATGGTTCATACTGAATAAAATTTGTGAGAAGAGGGATGGAATGGGAGCGGGGGTGAAGAAGAAAGACCCACCCCAGGGTGCCAGCTGGGTGCTTCCTCATGTCACAGGAGAGCTGGAGAAACAGGCCCAAAGAAGGGAGGGAAGGGGATGAGGGTTCTTGGTTCCAGCCTCCAGGCTCTGGTCAGTGGGCCCCAGGCCTCTCCCTGTCCCCTGCAGGACAGCATTTGGAAGGGGGGTGCAGTCTGCCAAGCCCGACCTGGAGTTTTTCCAGCTCAGCCAGGCGCCTTGAGAAGAGTGAAGGAGATAGGCTGGAGGGCGGGGCACCAGGCACCTTGAGTCGGGGGCGGCAGCAACAAACAAATGAGATGCAAACCAGAGAGCAGACCAAGGCCAGCTGGGTGACTGCTCAGAACACCCAGCAGGGCCACTTTATTGACCTTTACAGAGTCCCCTGTGGGCTGGCTTGGGCTGTGGGCAGGGGACGCAGAGTTGGCCCTGCAGAGCCGGGTGCCGGGGTGGGAGCAGGCTGAGCAGGCTCAGGAAGGAGGTGGCTACAGGGTCACTCAATACGTGATGGACGTCTTTAGACTTGACTCGACTGTCTTCTTCAGGATGGTGCGGCAGCTAGAGCCGGAGCCAGAGCCAGACACAGAGCAAGACCCCCACACAGGCCCCTCCTTGGAGCCCAGGATGGCGCTGGAGCCTCCAGTCACGATGCTAGAGCAGTAGGACCCAAAGCTGCCTTTCCCGCCTCCGAGTCCACTACAGCCCCCCAGGCTTCCACCAGCTCCTCCAGACACGACGGTGCTGCCTCCTACGACAGCTGCCAAAAGACACACCAGGGTCACAGCAGGGTCCTCAATGCCCCATAGAGCTCCCACTCCCAAGTCCCCTGATACTCACAGACAGTGACCTGGCTGGTGCACTCCCCAGACATCCTAGGGGAGAAAGGACAAGAGCAGGATAGGCTAAGAAAAGCTGCCTCCCCATGTGCTTGCAAGCCTCTCAGAGCAGGTCACCTACCCTCTCAGCAGATAAAATCCACAGTCCCCCAGCTTAAAATCCCCCCCTGCACAGTTGGTTGCCCTTAGTGACTTTCATTGTCGGGAAATCTCTCAGAATCCCCTTTAGCAAGGAGAGCGCTGTACTGGCATCCCATCCTCAGCCCCCACCTCAGTCCCACATGCACCTGTCCCTCCAACCTGCCCCCACCTGCACTCCTCGCCCTCCAGCAGCCTGCGGTAGGTGGCGATCTCCACGTCCAGGGCCAGCTTCGTGCTCATCAGCTCCTGGTAGTCGCGCAGCAGCCGGGCCAGCTCCTGCTTGGCCGCTCTCAGAGCAGCCTCCAGCTCGTCCAGCTTGGCCTGCGCGTCCTTGAGGGCTGCCTCCCCGCGCTGCTCGGCACTGGCAATGGCGGCCTGCAAGTCAGCGTTCTGGAACGGGAGAGAAATGAGGGAGAAAGTGGCTGTAAGCCCCACACAGCCCCCGAAGCATCCACTGCAGATACAGCCTGAAGGCTGGGGTGGCTCACAGCCTCATGAGCTCGGAATTATCCGGGACCACAACCCTGCTTCCCCTTGTCCTCTCGTTCCAGGGAGAATACTGCTTCCTCTGCTTCCTCGTCTCATGTAGTAGGTTGAATGATGTCCCCAAAACTTTCATGTCTACCCAGAACCTTGAATATGACCTTATCTGGAAGTAGGGTCTCTACAGATGTAATTAGTTAAGGATTTCATGATCATATCACACCGTATTTAGGGTCAGCCCTAAAACCAATGACTGGTGTCCTTAGAGGCAGAGGATAGGACAGTGACAGGCACAGAGAGAAGAGGCCATGTAGTCTCAAAAAAAAAAAAGAAGAAGAGACCATGTGAAGATGTAGACAGAGGTCGGAGTCATGTAGCAGGACTGCCAAGGGACTCCTGGAGCCACCAGAAGCTAGGATTGCCCCAAGCACCTTCACATGGAGCACGACCTGCCAACCCCTTGATTTCAGACTTCAAGTCTCCAGAACTGCAAGAGAATACATTTCTGCTGTTTTAAGCCACCCAGTGTGTGGTCCTCGGTTACGGCAGCCCTAGGACACAAATGCACATCCTTTGCCACCTCCCAGGTGATCTTTCCCTCTTTCCTCACACCCTCAACCCTCCGCACTTTATTGAAGTCTCTGCCAGGTACTGAACACTCTTCCTGCCCCATATGGATCAGTACTACAAGGCTACAGGACTACAGGACTACAAGGCTACAAGACTCATCTTGGGGGCCGCTATGGTGCTTCATATTTCTTTCTTTTTTTTTTTTTTTTTTTTTTTTTTTTTTTTTTTTGAGACAGTCTGGCTGTGTTGCCCAGGCTAGAGTGCCGTGGCATCTGCCTAGCTCACAGCAACCTCAAACTCCTGGTCTCAAGCAATCCTTCTGCCTCAGCCTCCCGAGTAGCTGGGACTATAGGTGCTCACCACCAGGCTTGGCTAATTTTTTGTTTCTTTTTTAGTTGCTCGGCTAATTTTTTGTATTTTTAGTAGAGACAGGTCTTGCTGTTGCTCAGGCTGGTCTCAAACTACTGACCTCAAGCAATCCTCCTGCCTCAGCCTCCCAAACTGTTAGGATTACAGGCGTGAGCCACTGTGCCAGGCCAGTGCTTCATTTTTCTAGAACAGTCTTATTTCAAATACTTTGTCCTATTCTATTATCAGAGTTTATCAAATCATGTGCCTCAATTTTGAGTTTGAAAATATTACCTCTTTACTTACCTCTCCAATCTAATATTACTAGAAAACTCCTAGGGGAAGCATGAGATCCTTATCTAATTGGCCTTACAGTTGATTGATCCTCACATCTGACACAGAAAAGAAGGAATTCCCTAAAGGCGCTCATTATTCTATTCCCACCCAAGCACCCTGTCGATGGGAACATGTTCTCACTCTAAAGATGAGGAAACTGAGGCTCAGAAAGGTGACACGTGGCAGAGCCGGAACCCTAACCCCTAATTCCGGCTGAGTTCATATAAGATGGGGCTTGAGGTTCTCTCCTCCTCAAATTAGCCAAAGCTCCAGACAGTTATTAAGGTCCCTTGACACAAACTCACTGGTGCCCTGACTGGGGAGAGGGAAGCCAGGAACTGGGGACAGAGCCAAAGGCACAAAGGCAACAAGAGTGTTGGGAGGGCCCTGGGAACCCTACCTGCTTCTTGAGGTTCTCGATCTGACTTTGTAGCCTCTGAATCTCCTGGTGTAGCTGGGAGATCTGGACTTTGGTTTCCTTCATGCTGTCCCCATGAAGCTGGGCAGACACCTGAAGCTCCTGGTACTGAGAGGAGAACAGAGATGACATAATTAGTCGAGAAGACTGCCACCTTTGACCCCAAGGCCGCAGGAAACACCATCTCCCTGGTGTCTGGAGACGCCTCCGCACATCCTCATTGGAAATGTGGGTTAAATGCTGGCAACAGGACATGGTGGGACGTGCTTACAGAAGTCCAAGCTTCTCTTCCATAGTTTCCCTGCATTATTCCCTCCTGGAGAGGGGAAATGGTCCTGCCCACCCAGCCCAGACCTTCGGGCAGGTTATTGGAACTGCCCCAATGGGACTGAGGTGGGCGACCACCCTGGGGTGTGGGCACGGAGACCCAGCCCTTTCCAGCATGGTGCGGCCCCAGCACCTTGGTCTGGTACAGCGCCTCCACCTCGGCCTTGCTGGTCTGGGTGATCTGCTCGTACCGGGCGCGGACCTGGGCGATGATGTCGCTGAAGTCCAGGCAGCGGTTGTTGTCCATGGACAGCACCACAGACGTGTCGCTGACCTGGGTCTGGAGCTGGCCCAGCTCCTGCAGGGAAGACCGACTCAGCATCCACCTGCTCCCTGGCTCTCTCGCCCCTCGGAGCCCAGGGTCGGTGGGCAGGATTCCTGCTTTTCTGCCCCCATTTCGTCAGCAAGCCACCCTCATTCGCACTGGGTGGCATTGAGTATGTCCTGCACCCTGCCCTCCGTGAGGCCTGATCTCCTCATCTGAAAATGAGGGCCAACAGAGGTGCTCTCGAGTGACTCTTGCAGCTTGGACATTAAAGGAAAATGGCCTGCAAGGCCGGAAATCCCCGGGTCCCGTCACTCCTTGGAGCTCTCATCACACTCCTCTCCCACTGCTGGCCCCCTGCATCTCCTCAGAGACGGTATGCCCCGGCTGTGGGTTCCACCTGGAACCCCAGAACCACACCTTCTTGGTGAGTCTCCTTGGCTCAAATCTCATCTCCTAAATAAGACCGGCCCCGAGCACACTATTTGCGATTGCCACCTGCCCCACGTTTCCAATCCTCCTCTCCCTGTTCTCATTTTCCTTTTTTCCATAGCATGTCTCACCATCTAACATACTACATAATTTCCGTCTTTGCTGAGGCTAGTGCTTGTCTGTTTCCCAGCAGGAAGCGAGCTGTGTGCCATTTGTCAGGTTGTGCACAGAGGTACCCCAGTAGCTAGTGATCCGCAGTAAGTTCGCCACAGTCATTGATTGTCAAATGACTGGCCGACCTGGAATCTGAGCCAGCCTAACAGGCATCCCTCCTGGTCACTGCCCCTGGGGCCACAGGGAGCTCGCCCACCCTGTCCCTCCCCGTTTCGCTCCCACCTGGCCTGGGCAGAGCCTCACTTCTCCATACAGACGCTTCAAGAAGCAGATGTGCTCTCTCAAAGCCGCCAGCTTGCCTTCCAACTCCATCTTGCTCAGGAAAACTCCATCCACATCCTGGGGACAGGGAGACAGAACCCGTGTGCCTCTCACTTCTCTGTGTGGGCCTACTCAGGAGCTCTGTTTACACACTGCCCGCCACGCACCCACCGCTGTCTCCGGAGACCCCGTCCTCCCTCCTCCAGCCCCGCCCTGCCCTGCTCACTCCTTGGCCTGACACTGACCCACACCGCCTTCAGGAAACCTTCTTCCCTGATTAATCCAACCAGTTCTGCTGCTTTCACTCCCTCCCCACCCTCTCCTGCCATGACACCAGAGCTCATCAGCAGTTCCTCAGTCAGGTGCCGTCTTGGGGCCCTGTGCCCATGCAGCTGTCCCACTTCCCTGGGGCCTGCATAGAGTGGCAGCACGTCTTGAATCAGGACCTCCCACCTCTGCCCTCCCAGCCCAGGACCAGGCCCCATGCAAGGTGGGTACTCGGGACCCAGTGGGGCACGTGGCCTCCACCCTCACCTTCTTGAGGACCACAAAGTCATTCTCAGCCGTGGCGTGCTTGTGGGCCTCCTCCTCATACCTGCCAGGTGAGTAGAAAAGGACATACTTTTCCAGAGCCTGTGCCCCTGCCTCCAAGCACGACCCGTGGAAAGGACCCGCTTGCCTTTAGACGCTCCCAAGCAGGACACATGCCAGCCCTCTTCTCTCCTTTCCTACTTGGAAGTTTCTGCCACATCTTAGCTATGTCCCTGTGCCACTCTCTCAGCCCATGTGCCCTTGCTGACAACAGACATGTGACATCACAGCATATAAGCCACATTCAAATGCCTTTTCTCACTCACTGCTCATAACCTCCACCTGGGGTGGGCAGTCTGGATTTTATCAGAGAGAGTATATGCGTTGGCCAAGATCCCACTGACAGTGCGGCTGCCACAGCAGACCTAAAGCCGGGGTCTCCTGGCCCCAGTCCTGCGGTCCTTCCAGAGCCTTCCTTCCTCTATCTCACAGCCGATCCTCCCAGAGCCCTGGAGGTCAGAAGGCAGATGACATGTTCCCAGCTTATAGACGTAGAAAGCTAGGCTGGGAGAGGTGACATGCTCTGCTGCAGCCACACTTCTACTCCTTGCTCACAGTGTCCCCAGCTCAAACCTCCTGGTAGTCCACACCACCAGATGACCTAGGTGGGGAGCCCAGAGCCACAGCCAGCTGTGAATCATGCCTTGAGCCTGTGGATGGTCCCTTCCACCCTGAGACCAGAGAACATCTGAGTCACTTTAGTCCATAGCCTGCTAAACAGGAACTTCTCGAGAAAAACCCACTGAGGCATTGTGTCAATAAGCCCTTCCCAGTCCTGACCAGGAACATGGGCCCTCGTGGCTGGGGCCTGTAGAAAACAGGCTAAGAGCCACAAGAGAAGGATCTCCCTGCCCTTCATCCAAGGTCCTCCAGACCTGGGCAGGGGGGCTGTGGGGCCTCCTTTACCTGTGGCGGGGGGCACCCTCACAGGCAGGCCAATGGGGATGCAGAGGGTGGAGGGGAGGCCAGTCGCGTGTCACTGGGCCTTGGCGTGTGGGAGACCCCTGGTGATACACCCAATCCTCGTCCTCCCAGACCCCGCCTGTCCCCCTGGGGGATCCTCAGGTTGCCTACTTGGCCTTGTACTCCTCCTCCTGGTCCTGGCAGGCTTTCCGCTCAGCATCCAGGGCCCCTCGGTCCCTCTGGAGCTGCTCCAGCTGCTTCCTGAGCTGGGCCACGTAGGCCTCAAAGGCAGGCTGCAGGTCCTGGGGGCTGCCACTCACGCCCTGCTGCTGCAGCAGGTGCCACTTGGTCTCCAGAACCTTGTTCTGCTGCTCCAGGAACCGCACCTGCGGCACAAGCAGAGGGTCCCTAGGGCTCCCGTGGGACTCCCTAGGCACAGCCCCTGGAAAGCAAAGCCTCGGGGCCCCTCAGTCAGCCACAGCTTTCCCCTGCCTCCGAACCTAACCTGGGTTTGGGGAGCCTCATGCCCTTCGGTGAGACTAAGCACATCACAATGACTGGACAGACTAACAAGGAAGGTCCTCCTGCTGTTCTCTGGCCGGCTGTTCTCTGCCCCAAGCCCAACTGTGGAACAACAGGGCCTCAGCATAACCAGAAAGACCCCAGTCGGACCACAGGAGGGACTTCCTTGTCCCAGAAGTGATTAGAAAACTGGTGCAAGGATGCCAGACTTCCCCATTCCCAAGCCCATCAAGAGCAGCTCCTGTGAGCAAGGCACAGAAACAGGGGCCAGGCTGAGTTGACCCTCACCTTGTCAATGAAGGAAGCGAACTGGTTGTTGAGAGTTCTGATCTCTTGGGTCTCCTGTGTCCGCACCACCTGGAACTGGGGGTCAATCTCAATCTTCAATGGGGTCAGCAGATTCGGGTTGATAGTCACTTCTTGGATGCCCCCCGGAGGGCACAGGGAAAACCCAGACCTGCCACTCCCCTCCCCAGACCGCACCCCCAGCCTTCCTCCTGACCCCCAGGTCCTCCCACGAGATCCCCCAGGGCACCCCCTGGAGGAACTGAGGCTCCTGCTGCTGAAGGTGCCCCTGCTGCGGCCCCCTGAGCGCCCAGAACAGGCTGAGCGAGCGCTGAAGCCCCTCTGGGCCCGGCACGGGGAGAGAGACATGGCAGAGACAGGCAGTCGCACGGCTGCAGATAGACGAATTGCCAAGGTGTGTGAGTTCCTGCCCTGGGGCCCCGGCACGAGACTTTTATCCCCTCCCATACTTGGGCTGGGCCTTGGAGAGCAAGATGCTCTTGACCTGACTGTGTCTGTCACTTGGCTCCAGCTGACTTACTGTGACACACTTGGAGAATAAGCATCTGGCACGTGCAGAGCCCAAGGAAGGAGACCCAGACCCTCCCCTCAGAGTGCCCAGGCTGGTGGAGAGATAGGCATGACCCGAAAACAAGGAAGCAGACAGGGGAGACTCAGACTTCAGCGCTGGGCGATGGGGAAGGATTCCCTGAGCCAAGCCAGTGAGGGCCATTCAAGGAAGGCTTCCTGGAGAAGGAGATAAGGAAGGAGGGAGGGACATTCAAGAGGAAAAGAAGATGGAGGGGGTTCAGATGAGGCATCAGAGAGCCCTAGGGATGCCAGACAGAGGCCAGTGAAGCTTCTTGAGGGAGACTCTATCTCAAAGAGTTGGAGAAGAAAGGCATTTCGCAGCACTCCAAAGCCAGGAGGTTAATGGAGGTGTTATTGCCATCGTTGCCTAAAAGACACTCCAGGATTTGGAAATGAAACATAAAAACAGGGTGTCCAAGTCCCTCCTCTTGCCCAACCCAACAATCATCCATGAGACACCACCCCACTGAAACCAGGCGTCTCCATCCAGGATCCGCATGGAACAAGGAGCTCCCAGCCCAGCCTGCACCCCTGCTGCGTCCACAAACCCACAGGCCAGGCCCATCCACCTGCGGTCAAGCTCTGCACCTGTCAGGTTCCAAACCAGGCCCCCAGGCTCTGAAATAAAATGTGCAGTAAGAAAAATACTCCTGGGGGACTGAGAGCAGAAACAGGAGATTTGGGATTCTGCACAGGACAGATTCTGCCTTCGACCCAAAAGTCTAGCGAGAGGAGGAGCACTCTAAGGTCCACCTGGTGTTCTAGCACAACCTCCCACCCCAGACAGGATTCCTGGCAGGAAGACATCCAGCAGCCTTCATTTACACTCCTCCACTGCTGGCCAGCAGAGTTGGACGGCTCTGATTTTTTTAAGAATATCTAAAATTTCTTCTGTACATGGTAAGAGGGCTATTCCTCCCTGTCCCCCTCCCCTTTTCTAGAACCTGGTGCATACAGAAGCAGGAATACTGGGGCCTTTGACAACACAGCTCAAAACAAGGGCAAACAGGCTCAGTGTAACAAACACTCAAGAGACATGCTATGAGGAAGTCAGTCTTAGCAACTCGAACTGTCCTGTAGATACTCCACCCTGAGGCCAGTCAAAAGTGAGTGTGACCGCCACAGGATTAGAAGCCCCTTCCTCCTTCCCCTAGCCCCATCGGGCAGCACCCTTGAGCAAAACTGAACTACAGATGACCTCAAGAGGAAGAAGAGACAAGGCCTTCAGTGGAGAGCAAAGGAGTTCCAGGAGTGAGGAGCCAGGTGAGGAAGAGGAGAGGAAAGAAAAGGTCCAGGAGGAGACTTAGGTGTTCCAAGGAGAGGGAGGCAGCACGCAGCAGCCCCAGAGTCTAGACTAGAGAGCTGGGAAATGGGACGAATCCCACTGAGGACACACCTCCAAACCCTAGCCCCTGGGGACCACTTGGCAGAGGCAAGGTTTTGTATGGAAGGTTTTCCTTCTGGACCCCACGAATGTGCTTGAGAAAGGTCTGCCCAGACGGAACTCTCCCAGCCCTCCCTCTCAGTGTTAAGGGTGGAGGATACACTTGAGATGGGACCAAATCCACCACCACAGGACTTCCCCATATTTGTAATATTAGAGAATATTGGAGATAGAAGCAAGGTTCAAGGTCACCTGGTCCAATGCCTTTGTTTTACACTTGAGAACTCTGAGGCCCCAGAGGGTGTGGGGTGGGGCATGAAGACTGTGTACTCTTGGGTAACCAAGAAGGTTGCACCAGATGACCTCCAAATCTGCTTGTCCTATCACTCTGTGGTCCGAGGGGCTTGTCCAAGGTCTCCCACGCAGCCACTCAGGCTGAGCCACCACCCCCACCCAGCTCAGACCATTGCCCCACGGTGCAGCCCAAAGTGAACCTCCTCCCTCCTGCACATGCCCACCCTTCAAGCTTCCTAAGACAACACCACCAAACACTTGATCAGAACCCCATGATGTCTGCCGTATCCATCCAGGGTCTGGCATACACTACATATCAATAATAAGTATCTGTTTAAAGAGATGAATCTTAACCCGTGGCAGTTACATCCAGGGACCTTGAAAGCCCAGATTTGCAGGTGCTGCTGTAACAGACGCTTCCCCTTTTAAAAATAATAATAAAAAAAATTACACAGTCATGGAAAGAACAACAAATCAGTTTGGAGCCTGAAGTAGGCCCCTCACCGCTGATTTGGCCCTACACACAAAGGTGCACAGAAGAGGCCCCAGTCTGTGCAGCAGCAGCAGGACAATTAGCTCACATCATGGACTTAACATTAAATCCTGCAATGCAAAGGCTCTGTGGGATGTATCTTTCCTCAGTTTCCCCTGCTCCAAGCTGGCCATCCTCAGCCACTCCTCATGCTCTACAGCCCCACCCTGCCCTGGTCCCTGTCTCTGGAAAGCCCCGGCCAGCACAGCTCTCCAGTGCCCCGCCCAGGGTGGGGAACCGTGCCTCGGGTCCACATGTGGCCTTCTGGATCCTTGAATGCAGCCTTTCGACTCAAGTTTGGATTCAGTGGCAGGGCCACACTCAGTGATCTGGAGGGCCACATGTGGCCTTGAGGCCCCAGGTTCCCCACCCCTGCACTAAGAGACCTTAGTTAGAGTCTCTCGGGGAAACAGACATTAAAAAGGTAATCAGATAAGTCTTTAATTATGATAAAAAGGTAAAAATATAGGACATGAAAGGGGCCTAACCTAGTTTATCCCCTAATTTATTCAAACATTCCAGGAACTCTCCCGCCTCAGGGCTTTTGCACTTGCTGTTTTCTCTTCCTGGAATGCTCCTGCCCAGATAACCACACAGCTTGTTCCCTCGTCTCCTTCAGGCCTTTATTCAAAAGCAGTGGCTCATGCCTGTAATCCTAGGGTTCTGGGAGGTTGAGGCGGGAGGATCCCTTGAGCTCAGGAGTTCAAGACCAGCCTGAGCAAGAGTGAGACACCGTCTCTACTAAAAATAGAAAAAATTAGCCGGGCATGATGGTGCGTGCCTGTAGTCCCAGCTCTTCGGGAGGCTGAGGCAAAAGGATTGCTTGTGCTCAGGAGTTTGAGGTTGCTGTGAGCTAGACTGACGCCACAGCACTCTAGCCCCGGTAACAGAGCAAGACTCTGTCTCAAAAAAAAAAAAGTGACCTTCTGGCCAGGCACAGTGGCTCACGCCTGTAATCATAGCACTCTGGGAGGCCTAGGGAGGAGGATAGCTCAAGGTCAGCAGTTCAAAACCAGCCTGAGCAAGAGCCAGACCCCATCTCTACTAAAAATAGAAAGAAATTAATTGGTCAACTAAAAATATAGAAAAAATTAGCCAGGCGTGGTGGCGCATGCCTGTAGTCCCAGCTACTCAGGAGGGTGAGGCAACTAGGATCAACTTGAGCCCAGGAGTTTGAGGTTGCTGTGAGCTAGGCTGATGCCACAGCACTCACTCTAGCCTGGTGGGCAACAAAGCGAGACTCTGTCTCAAAAACAAAAATGCAAAAACAAAAACAAAAATATATATATGTTTAAAAAAAGTGACCTTCCCTGGCTACCCTAAATAAAAAAATGCAACACTGAGGTGACCCCTCCTCTGCCACTTCTTTCCCCATCTTTGCTTCATTTCTTTCTACTTACCACTTATCACTTCCTAACACATTGATTACTTCACTTGCTCATTTGATCTGTGAGTCTTCCCGCACCATAGTGTGAGCTCCATAAGGGCAGGGATTTTGTCTCTTTTGCTCATTTCCATACCCTTTGCACTTGAACAGTGCCTGGCATTCAGTAGGTGCTCAATGAATGTTTGTTGAATGAATGAATCCCCACTCAGTTTCATCTTGTTGATTTCCTGCCATCTTTCAACCTCTGGAGATGCTTGTGTCTCAGTTCTCTTCCCTGAAACATTAGGCATCCCCCCCCTGCCCACCCAAGAAGGGAGCATCCGTACATTTGAGAAATATGATTTTGTTACTCTGTGTGTGTGTGTGTGTGTGTGTGTGTGTGTGTGTGTGTGTGTGTGTTACTAGCATCTACAGTTGGCTGAACACTGAGCCACTGAGCTAAGTGATACAGGAGCTATGAGATGGATAAGGCCCCTCTCACCCTGAAAGGATATTGAGTCGCCATGAAAGACACACGTGAACACAAAAACTCAAGGCAGGGTGGGCCTGAGAGTGTCTGTCCTGACTGCAAGTTGGCATGTTGGGATAACGGTGGAAGATCCCTCTTTTCACACATCCAGTGGCCTGGTCTTGGAGGAGATCAGGGACAGAGCCCTTTGGCACGCCACTGCAAACCCCCCTCTGCTCAGGGATCCACCCAGCCATCCTTTTATCCAGACCCCAGTTTTCCCATCTTGCCTGCAAGGACATCAGAAAATTAGTCAAATGTCTCATTGAATCCCAGAGAGCCTTTGTCTTATCTACAGTAACCATCAAGATAATGCTGTTCATGAGCTATTTTATCCAATGATCGAACAATAAATGGGGCCTATATAACAGGCCTATTCTAAAAACTTCACATATATTAAGCATGTAATGTTTAAGTTTACGTGCCAATTTTAAAGCATTTATCCTGAAAACCCTATGAAGTAGATACTTTTATTATCACCATCTTACAAAAGGGAAAACTTATAGAAAGGAGGCACAGACAGAACAAATAACATGCCCAAATCCACACAGTTGTTAAGTGACAGAGGCAGGATTCAGACACAGGAAGTTGGGCCCCACAGTCCTTGCACTTCACCACTACATTGCTCCTCTCAGAGAGCCAGGAGTTTCAGTGTACAAGGACACCTTAGCCAATTGAAGCCCAGAGAGGTGGAGCAATTTACCTAAAGTCACACAGCAGAATCCAA